AAATGTACAAATTCCATTGGACAGATGGAAAAGGCATTGAGAAGCTACTTTTGAGAATGAGCAAAATAGAAACCAATGCCCTCAGGCAGCAGAAGTGGGGCGACCTGGATGCTAGGCGGGTCTCAGGACATCTGAACGTCAATGCTGAGTGAAGGTGAATGAGAGACTCGGAAATATATAGCCCCAGAGAGAGACACCGTAAGGACAGCAAAGCACAGGAAACTAGGCACAGGACAGAGTAGGAGCGCCCACTAGCTGCAATTATATTATATTATAATATATTATAATATAATTAATTATATTAATTATAATATAATTATTTTTTATATCTTTTAGCTTTGGAATTTGGCTCTTCTTTAACTTGATCCTGATATTTTGTACTCATTTTATATGGTGATTTCTCTTTCTGGATATTTTTCTTTAATATATTTAAACAGTTACTGATTTCATGTATATCCTATCTCATTTTTGTTTTTTTTACCAGCATAGTCTGCTTTTCTTGTATCTAAAATGTATTTCAAAATCTTATGAATGCAGTTCCTTAATGGTTCTCTCTGTTTTGTTTTCTTTATTTAGTGTTGCTTGTAAGTAAAAATGTCCAATTAGACTTAACATTAATGTCTGGCTTGTGTGGTTTGTAGCATACTCCTCACATTATTCTTTTTGAAAGGTTTTCTTTGTGAACCTGTATAGATTCTGATTCTCTGGATTCATCTGTGTTAACGTAATGTGCCTGAATGCTCATTTTTAAGTATAGTCTACATCAACATTTCTTTTATCATAACACTAATGATTTGTCACCACTTGCTATTAGCCATGTTTCATAGACTCCAGTTACAGCACACTGTGAATCCAGCATCTTCTGTTTCCTGTATTGTTTTCATACTACTCCTGGCATTTAGCTATAAGCATTAAATTACCTGGCCATTTATTTTATGCTTGGGTTTTGTTTTTGACTGTGCTCTGTGTTTATCTCTTTTCCATATTTTCTTAGGATAACGCTTCTCTTCTTCACTAATGTTTTTGAAACCATGTCATGTCTGTACAGATGACCTCTGCCATTGAAAGCTTTCCTTCTTCACCATGTCCTCAGCAATGTGATGTACAGTATTCACGCCCATTCTTCACCTTTCTGGGAAAAATACAGACTTAGAGCAGCTCTTCAGTGATTTCTAATTTCTTTGAATGTTTTGCATATGTAAAGAGTGCTGTTTATGTTCAAATCCCTTGTCCCAACACAAACAGCATCAATTGTGTATTCACTTGTATTTGCTACTGTTGCTATTCCCTTGTATTTGTCCAGTGTCCTCTGGACAATGTTAGCCACTTCAGTTGCAGGGAAACACACTCTGTGGTTGACTCAAGATCCTTTATGATATATTAGTTAAAGTGTTCCTGAGAACAGCATCACCACAAACCACCACCTCTTAGTTTGCATTTTTGGCAGCACTGGCATTCTCTGAAATAGTGACTAGTAAATGAACTATGATGGTGGTAGGAGTATCTAAATTATAATTAAAGTTACTGTATTTCATTCCTTGCTTGTTACAAATCCATTAAGTGTTTCAAAAAAGATGACTCTCTTGTTTCATTTAATTTGCTATAAATACTACTAAGATATTGCTACAAAGACTTAATTTGCCAAAGTGTTTATATGGATCACACAGCTTTTGAACTTCAAATGTCAAATTTGACATCCATTTTCATTGCCACATACACTCAAAACTTTTTTTTCCTCCAAAACACAACATTGCTTTGGAGCACGTTGTATGTTAAGTTAAAAAAGATATAAAGCAGCATTCCATAAAACATACTTCTCTTGTTTACCAAATATAACAAATATATATCACAAATAGACATTTGATTGTTGTTATTGAAAAAAAGATTGCTTTTGTCCTTCTAGAAGCTTATTTCCATGCTTATTCGTTCCACGTGTGAAGCTGCTCAGCATTTAAATAAAAAAATGACTGCTATTATGTAAATGTTTTTAGTCTTATTTCAGGACCAGAATTTGTAAAAGAGTGGTCAAGCAGGAATTGGAGCAAGACAGCTGGGTAGGAAACTGGTTTGACCAGATGCATTTTGTCATTCTAGATAGAAAGATATATACTTTTTAGTGTTTAGAAACTTCAAAGAGAACTTAAAGGTGTTATTGCTGTCACAGACTTTGAAAACTAATTATAGAACTATGTATGACATGCAAGAATATAAGACATGTCTTTGGGAGAGGTTAGACAATTTTTCAAGGTCGTCATCCCTCCTCTAGCGGGTGCTCCTACCTTTCTTGTTGTGTTCCCAGTTGTATTTGTCCTAGCTGTGTCTTATACCCTTTTCCCTATTTAACCCTGGCGTCTCCATAGTTCTACACAGATGTAAAATATCAGCTTCTGTGCTACCTAAACTCTCTACATTTCAGGATGCCCCTAACACACCCAGGGTTCAGCATGCCAAGAACAGTGACAGACACCCTAGTACACACTTCTAACCTGGTGATATGCAGACTCTAGGTTACTTGTTGTGGCCTGGGAGACAGCATTCTCAACTAGGTCACACATAGATCACCAATTTCTAAAGACTGGGAACAACAAATTGTGTCTAGTGCCAGGTTACACCATATCCGAACTCCAAAGTAAACTGTAAACTGTAGATCAAGTCATTGGGTAACCTAGAGAACAGCTGGATGTCATAAGTAAACCCATTCCCATACAACATACACTTCAAAATCCCACACCAAACTGTCAGGCAATTGTGGAGCTGGGTCATTTAGAAGTGGCAGCCCACAATACATTAGTTTGAGAAAATTGGAACTGAACTGGCAACTGTTTTTAGTCAGCTTTTGTTGTTGATTCATTTTGTTTAGTGAAAATAAGAAAAATAAAATTGAAAAGTTTTACATTCCGGTTAAAATTCACAAAACGAAATACTGTTTCCTTTTTCATTAGTTTTTGAAAACAACAACTTTAACTTTCAAAAGAAACTGAAAAGTAATGATGCTGTTCTCATCTTCTGCTATGGAGGACAAGTGATAGGGATGTGACTGAGTCCTACTCCTGATATATTAGATGGTCCTCTTGGACTGCTATGTGTTTAGCCTGCTATTTTGTTACCTTAATTGGGCATTTTCCACTGAGGTGTCCACCTAATTGTTCCTTGGGTGGGCACTTGGAGGTGCCCCCCTCCAAGGAAGGAGTGTTAGCACACCGCATGTGTCCAGGGATGGTCAGCATAAAATTTCTATTTCTAGCTCATGACAGCTGACCCCTTAAGCCATTGCAATGTCCAGTCTGTCTCCTATCCTTCTGTATGATATTCAAATGAATGTGTGCGGGCAGTTTTCAGATATATTATTATCCATATTATCCATACATTTTCTAACTGTTTTATCCAATTCAGAGTTGCAGCTGAGCCAGAGCCTATCCCAGCAAGCAATGGGTGCCAGGCAGGGTACACCCTAGATGGGACACCTGTCTAGTGCAGGACACTCACCGACAAAAACACGCACTCACACCAGGGCCAGTTTTCCTGGAGGTCAATTAACCATCCAGCATCTCTTTGGACTGTGGGAAATCCACGCAAACATAGGAAGAACCTGCAAACTCCTTGATTCTCATTCATTTGTGCTCTTCTTCATAGTGCACCAAATCATCAATATTAGTAATCATCCCATCTGGACACAGTATCTTTCAGCTACCTACATTAAGAGAATCAAAGACACAAAACCTTCTCCTCTGATATATAGTACATGCTGTCAGGCTGATTTCCTATTTGACATGAACTGTATATATAGAATGGTTGTAAAAAAGCTTTGGCAACTGAAATAATTGTGATACGGACCTCAGCAATGCCTCCCAGTAATGGTCGTGAACAAGAGCTGTTGTGCAACAAAGTGGCAAACCTCTAGTTACATACTATACATGTCAAGCAATTTGGCCAGAGTTGATTTAGTTTAGCATGGCCACTGAAGAGTTTTGTGCCTTAAGGAAGGAATGACAAGTTTGTGTCCGTGAGGGGTGCTATTCGATATAACAGTGACTGACTGAAAGATGCAGTCTACATTCAAACCAGTATGATCCAGGTTGCAAAACTCTTTTTCTATTCCGGCCAAAGGCTTTTACCTGATAAATAGAGTATCAAGGACATTGTTATCAAGTCAAGTATTAGTGACAGTTTAACAGTACAGTGTACAACCATCGACAAATATTATTGAATAAATTAGTCATTATTGTGTTAAGTTCACTTTTATTATATTAAGTGAAAGTAGGAACCCAGTTACACCACTGACGTTTATGCATAATTATATAATTCTAGAATTAAATAGTATTCACTTTATATTCATTTACAAAGCAGGAATATGTTTTCAAATCAACAAGAATGGAGGACTAACAGCACTAGCAGTGCTAGAATATATTGTACTATAGTTCAGGTGGGTAGCTGCGTCAGCATGTGTAGGCTGCAAGGAACAAGTAATAGATTTATTCCATGCTTTCTTCTCTTTTCAGCATGGAATAAACCTATTACTTGTTCCTATGTTATACTCTATGTTATGGATAATGTAAACTACCGCCACAAAAGGTGGTCACTGCCTATGGTCCTATGTTCTGTGTATTTCATTCAACCATGTGCCCAGCTATAAAAAGCACAATCCATGTATTGGTCAGACTTAAGACATAACGACAGCATATACTTACATCCTCATGATCATGCATTATAGTGATAAAGTTCAGTGTAACTCAGCTCAAATATTTGAGGCATTTGTTAAGTCCCATTTTAGCCAACCTGCTTACTCTTTCATACTTTAGCTCTGAACCACAGAAAACTGACATTGACAAATACAACTGACAGTCACTTCCAGACTGGTTGCTTAAAACTTCCCAAGTGTTCATGCGACACTCTGCGGGAAGGAAAGGATGATTAGAATGCAAGAATCCCACCCACCACTCACACACATTCAGACAGTGAGAGAAAAAACCAAAACACCCAAAATGAAAAAGAAAGGCTGGAATCGTTCTAGCAGTTAGCGTTCTACCTATACGGAGCAAAAGGCAAAACAAGTGCACATACTGTAAATGTAGGCTAGCTGGTGCACGCACATCCGCAGTCCCCTTGAATACACTACACTGCAACGGCATTGCTCAAAAGCTCATAGCATCAATTACAGTTCTTCGTCCGTGCTTATCGAACACTCTGTTCTAATTACAGCATGAATGGCTAATAAACTTGTTTTCGCAACGGTTGACTAGCTTATGTTTTGGCAATGGGAGAAGGGAGTACGAAATAGTGCTACTCCACAAATCACAAATGCATCCCTTCAGCTTTCAGGTTGCAGTACTGCGGAATGGGAAGTATTTCCTTGCCTGGGAGCCGTAGTGAAGAGTGAGGGGAGGGGCTCCACGGAAGAACTGGCAATCAGAAACCAGCAATCGCTTCGGTCTTCTTTTTGCGGTATCTTCCACATTCAACAAGAGGCATTTCGCTGTTTCACGGGTCAGTCTGGGCTTCTTTTAATGTGAAATTTGCCTCGCCATCCGTGGGAAGGCACTTAGGAGCAAGGGGGGAGAAGAGAGAACGGAGGGGAAAGAGCCCCTGCAGCGAAGCATAAAAGTAGGCTTTTATCACCCAACGCTACAGGCTGCAAAGTGAGCAAGAACGTTTTTCTTCCCCTCTAAGACTAAATGGTTTAATTCTTTTGGGGTGTCTTCAAAGAAAGATCAAACAGCGGGTACAATGACTGAGAGAGAATCGGCGACAGACACCGGAACTGCAGGTAAAAACTATTCTATTTATGATTCAGACCTGTAAAGCTATGCTGTAGTACTGCGAGGAGGGCCAGTGAAGAGATGGATAGGCGTGCACATCTGCAATAGCCCAAATGGTCTTCAAGACTGCATTTTTGTGTTTTATCCCCATTTTTTCTTTCCTCCTTCCCTAGATTCTGAAAGTAGGTTAGCTAATGTATTGCGAATCCCATGTTAACCGAGAGGAACGATGTACTAACTACAAGCTTGTGCAGTATGTTGTGATTTCAAGCTTTGACAGACCACTTTGAAGGCTTGAAGTTGGAAACGTTCAAACCCGATTATGCATTTTATGTGCTCCTTTAAGGGTTTTGATGAGCCTTTTATTGACGGAATGCTAATATGGCCACACATGCACTGCTCAAAACCTATTACTCAATGCTGGGAAAATTTAATTGGCGAACTTGGCGGTGGGTACTTTCCATAATTCCGTGATTCTGTTCCAAAAACCTGAAAACACAATTTTTACCAAGTAATACGGATTAAAGTGAATTATTGTTATTAGAACTACGTGAGTGGCTAAATCTGGACAATGGATATTTAAGGTAAAAACGAGAAAAAAACGTGGTCCCTTTCCATAAACAGGGATAAAATCTAAAGGTTAAGAAAAATCACATTTGAGTTTTGACTTCCAACATCCATGGCGGTGCGGAATGGAGTCACATGGCCGGTCCCTAGGGGATTCAGATTCAATGCAGCAAAACTGCATGCGCTGCTCCCTGCCAGGTAAAACAATACTGCGGCTTGGATGTTTCACCCATTTGTCTTTTTCTTCTGTGATTACTTCTACCACCAACTCGGCAGGGATGTTTTGACACAGTTTCTACATTTAATAGTGTTTTTGTTGTACCGCAATGACAGGATTCCTTTCACTCTGCTGTGGTTATTCCTGTTGCTCTAAGGATGGTTTCTGTGGCATACAGTACTGTAGCTGATGCCCTCCCCTGTTTAAGGAGAGAGAAAAGTTATGAGATGCTTAGATGAACATGTTTTTGCATTGGCAGTGTTGTAGATGAGATTTGCAATAGCTTACAAGGGAGTGTTCCTGCAGGAGTTTTAGGAAAGAAAAGGCACTGTCTGCCCTTCAAAAGGACAGAGCAATAGACTGTCTGACATCAGCACGCATGACACTTGGGAGTGGTCCTTACATCCCATTCAAATCTCTTTTACTGATAAACTAAACTGAATTATAATAGTGCAGCACACAAACCCAGACTAAGCTTTTGCATGGACAGGCATTGCTACATGGTAAAAGTAATACAAGCCTGCAGTATTTTTGTGCAATTCATGCCTTTGAAACAGTTTCCACATTGCCAGAATTTTCAATTTGGTGTTTTCCATATCTGTTGAAAATATCTTCATGCTTTCAGGTTCTCAAAGAAAGAATTGCCTCACTAGTTGTCAGATTTCTAAGCTGTCACTTGTTATCCCCCTGCAGTGAAGCTACAGAAACAGATCAAGTAGTATGCTGTAATGCGTTCTCACCAATCCATTACTGCTGCAGTTGCCTGGGATGAATGATGGATGATGGGGTAGAATAAATAGTCTGTCAAGTATGGGTGGATTAACACATTTATTTGTTATAACTGTGATTGAAGAAGTGTGTGTTCCATCATGGGCAAGTCCATTTGACTGCTGATACAGGCCTTTTCTCTCTGTATATCACCAATCTATTTTATTTGCCTGTGGGGTAATGCAACACACATGTATGAGGCAGGGCCTAAGGAAATAGTAAATAATCTGCTATTCTAAATGTATTTCCAATTTATATAAATGTTTGTATAAGCCAAACATGAGATGAGTGAAGAAGCCGTGTTGCCAGCAGTTTTGTTTTAGGCCTTTATTTCTGTGTCTGCAGTGTTCTTGAGGATCTCTGTTATTGGTGTTACCTGTGTACTAAATGTTGCTTTACTGCGTAAAACTAATTAATATTGAAATTAAAATGGGCAAGATGTCTAATTGATATGCTTATTCGTGGAGATTGACCAAAAAATTGAAAAGTTTAAAGGAGTTTTTATTGATTTGAAAATCAAGTTTGCCTCACAAATCTTGGATCCTGTGTTTGATTATAACATGGTGTGTCTTATGTCTGGCGTTCTCCCTGTATGCTTGAGGGATTTCTGTATTGCTGTGGTTTTCATTAACCAGTTGGTCAATGGGTGTGTGTGAACTGTGCCCAATTTATAATAGTGTCATGCAAGACACTATTAACCTGCCCAGGATGTAGTCCTTCTATGTGCCCCATTTTCTTGGGATAGACTCTGAGACTCTGTGTAGCCAGTTACCAGTTACAAGAGGGTTTATGATGGATGGGAGAAATTAGACTGTGCACTACAAAGTATAATAATAATAATAAACTTTATATAGTGCCTTTAGGTGGCTTCTCAAAGCACTTTACAGAACAACAACAATAATAAAATATACACAAGATAAGCACAATGAAAATACACGATGTGAGGAACAGTAGATAGAGTTACTGAATACAGTAGGAGTAAAGGGGGTAAATAACAGAACCAGTTAAGTAAAAGCCATTCTAAAGGAGAAGCTTCTGAGTCTAGATTTGAAAGAGTTTAGGGAAGGTGACTCTCTGATATCCTTAGGGATAGAGTTCCAGAACTTTGGGGCATAACAGGAGAAGGCCCTGTCACCCATAGAGTGTAGATGAATGAATTGGTATGAATGTAGATCTGAGTATCGTCAGCATATAAGTGATAGTTGAGGCCATATGGAAACATGTAAATGCTGAAAAGTAGGGTGCCCAGTATTGAGCCCTGAGGAACACCAGACTTAACGAGTCCAGTTTCAGACCTAAATCCACCAAGAGAGACAACATGACACTGGTCTGTGAGGTAAGACTTGAACCATTTTAAGAACAGTGTCAATAATTCCAAACCCAATCCAAAGATGAGAAAATAAGAAATCATGATTAACAGTGTCAAAAGCAGCACTGAGATCAAGAAGAATGAGGATCAAAAGAGAACCAAAATCTTTGAGCTATTAGAAGATCGTTAGTGACTTTGACCAGGGCAGATTCTGTGCTGTGAAGTTTTTGGAAACCAAATTGGAGAGGTTCGCAATGAGGTGGTTGGTTAACTGAAATGTGACAGCACATTCAAGAATTTGTGGAAGATAGGGTAATTTGGAGATGAGGCGAAAATTGTTTAGGTTTTCCAGAGTCATGTTTGACTTTTATGGCACAGGTTAATGGCTGCAGTTTTGAGGACAATGTATATATCCATGAAATCTGGATTTAATTCACAGAGTATCACAACCCCTCGGTTGTTTTTTCTCCATTTCTAAGATCAATGTAGGAGTCTTTCTGTACCAATGTAACAATGCAACAAGGACAGATAATGTATTGCTTTGCTACATACAGTAGATTAGACTTTATTAATATTATTACATTTTTATGGTCTAACTAAATGAGTTTTCATTATACACTGCATAGATCATTAGTTTAGCTGCAAAGCTTTCCTGTAAATTACAAGGCATGGGTTGTTTTTCTGACATTTAAACCCACTCATGCCATTACGAGCATTTTCTGGCCTATTACTGACATTACTTTAAATCTCTTTTCTTCATCAGGCTCACCAAGGAAAAAGAAGCTGTATGTCTTTTACAGCAGTAATCAAAATCTCCTAGTGACTTGCAAAGTACAGAAACATACAGGAACACACCCTCTAACAAAAACAGCAAATGTATGAAATATGAATTAGAAAAAACATTTTAAAAGAAGCATGTTAATTAACATCTGTGTGTGATGATAAAGTGTGTGTTGGTATTGCCTACCAGATGGGCTAGATGGACCTGAATGGCGTTCTCTTCTTTGTAAACTTTATTATGGTCTAATGTGGTGGATATGCTAACCACTTCTTCCATCTCAGGTTCACAGGAGCCTATCCCAGCAAGAAATGGGTGCAAGCCAGAATACAGTGTACTTTTGTGAATTTTCTTAGGGTCGATTGGGTGGTTGCTAGGTTTTAATCTGTACTGAAGCCCAAGTTAGAACCTTTAATCGTAGTTTGTTCAGCGCAACAGGCTTTTGTTTGTAAACACCATTACAAACCAGGAAAAAGCAACTGTATGTCAGATGGATGTCCAGGTGGGTGCTGCACATTGGTGGTGGTAGAGGGGAGTCCCCATTACCTGTAAAGCGCTTTGAGTGGAGTGTCCAGAAAAGCGCTATATAAGTGTAAGCAATAAGAAGAAGAAGAAGAAGAAGAAGAATTATTATTATAGCTAGAGTAAAATGTGCTGTCATACTTCATGTGTTGTTTGTAGGTAGTCTAATCTCTTGACTTTACAGTACAAGATGACTGGTTGAGGACTTTTAACAGTTTGGTATTTCGACATTTAGAAAGTTGCAGACTTTGAGCATATAATTGGGATTTTCCAGTATGTGTAAATTATTATGGATACGTGATTAATAGTTAAGGTCATGAATGATGTGGTACTACAAAGTGAGTTGACTTAAAATAAGCAGAAGGTCAAAAGTCTAAAAAATGTCAGTGGTCAAATGTCTTTCACTTTTTTAGAGAAAAGAAGATGTTTTTTCAGAGTAAAATTGAAAACTGTATAAAACCTTAACACCTCTCCTTGCCTATCATGATATATTTAGTTGCTCTTTATCATTTAATAAACATCATAGCAAATTGTACAGTGCAAATAGTCCACACTTCAAAACCAAGCCTGTAATATTCTTATATTTTAATGGTAAAAGTTAAAATATTTTGGCTTTGTGCCATTATAACTGTGTTTCTGTTACATTTATTCTGCTCCTGTTCTTCATAGATGTGTGGATGTGGGTGAAGGTTGATTTCAAGCAGTCAAGCAGAAGATTAGTAAGTGTAAAGACGTGATAGCTCCCACCCAGTGACAATCAGAAGAGACTCTGCTTCTTGAGGAGCTGGGTTGACCACAGTTGATTGAGGCCCTGCTCATGCACTACTGTGCTGACAATCAGCAAGCT